TATATATATATATATATATATATATATGCTCTGTATTTGGCTCTGTATTTTAAGCCAGTTGGCTTAAAAAATTTCTTACATTCACAAAAAAGCACATTTCTCTCGAGTGTGTGATTTCATTCATTTCTCGATCAAGTCAAACAAATAAGTACTCAATAATTTTATATTTTACGGTAGCAAATGGCCACACGATTTTCACCTACGTGAGGGAAGTGACTGCTGCCAATATATAGTTGCAAGAAGATATAAGGTGGGATATGCGTGGCCGTGGCCCAACTCTGTCAACAACCAAGAGGAGGGGCCACACTGGAATAATATATGTACGAGTATTTCTCTTGTGTAATCGTTCCATTGCTACTTCCCCCTTTTATTTCAGATACATATGTCGCCGCGTGAAGTCCTCGAGAGCAACTGAACAGCGCGCGGGCGGCGGTGGAGGGTAAAAAGCGCCCCCTTCGGCGGCCAGTATTACTGAACAACCAATATAAACTTTAAGTACGTATTTAGAATACCAAGAAAATGTATCTACGTGACATGTGGCAAGTCGTTACATAACACGAGGAAACTATGACTTTGATGTGATGTATCGCGCCGGGATTTCCCATTAGTTACCAGTGGTGTGGGCGATGACAAGATAAAAAATATACACAAACAATAAGACTTAATTTACAAAATCATCGCACCGGTGGACGATGCCACGTTTCACGAATTCAGCTCAAATTGCGTAATTGAATTTAAGTTTGGGAAAGCGGTCAAGAGCCGGGCATCATTGCAAGCGGCGTCGCGGCATGCGACCCACAGCTGCACTCTCACCCCGCGACCGCGACCTGCAAAACAAGTAATGACGACACGAGACGTGGTTATTCGTGTAGTTGTTATTGATCGCATTGGGGCAGATGCCCGCGCGCACGCCCGTCTCGGCCGCAGCAGGTGGACATGTTACTGGAGCCCACTTGCGGTCCAGTCGACTCGACTTGGTCCCGTTACGATAATTTACATTTAAAAAAAACAAACCCATTTTACCACTTACTTCTGAAATACTAAAAAGTTAACAAACAGCCTTATTCTTGTGTCCACTGTGAGACAAGACAGGTCGCATCTTTCGCGGTCCCTGGGATGGTGTCATCGCGGGATTGAAGCCTGCAAGCCCGACATAACCACCCTTATCTCTGTTACCTCAGCATTTCCCCGCATTACAAAATGATTCTATACAATATTTTGTAGTATAAATTACATTTATTAGACTAGGAGTTGCCAGCTGCAACTTGTTGATGTGGTCTTGTTGCTCTGAATACCGCCAGCGAAGGCCATTCCACATTTTTTTACAATGAATAAAGTGTTTTTGTAGTCGAAGCTCGAGTGTCGCGAGATCTAAACTTCTAAACATAGCTCAGATAAGCGCGCGCCGGCCGCCGCGCTGCAGTGACGCGCGACGCGCGAGGCGCAGCCCCCGGCGCGGCGGCGGCGCTGCCACGTGCCGCCCGCGCCAACACGTGTCAAATTAAATCCTGGGATGCCAAAACACTCCATCTACTCCTTTCTAACGTTTTCTTTTTTACGACTATGAACATGACAATTATGCTAGTGTACACACTTACATGTAAAAATATGTTTGTGAATCAATGAGTATTAGTAGCTAAAGATAAAGATACACACTTATACCTACGATGTTGATGTAAAGGATATCATCTTAAAACGACAGCCAGGAATAAGCCGCGGTAGTGGCCAAAAAGTGGACATTTTCTATCAATACTAGTAAAATCTTAACATAGTAAAATGAGAGTGTCGGTATAAAATATTGCAAAGATATTTGGTACACATGGTGTTTGCGTTGATGGCATCGAAAAACTAATTTTAAAAATTTCGTCTGTCTGTCTGTCAGCAAGGCCGCGTTTGTTACGGATAATCTTTATTTGTAAATACATCCATACTTCTATATCTATCTATCTATACTCCTATACTTCATGTACACTGTAATATAATAAAGTGTAAATGCACAGTACTCAATTATGTAGGCCTGCCTTCGAAGTACTTTTTGATTCTTCTTTTAAAAACCTCCACATTTACGACATGCATTACATATTTTTACGTTATCGAACTGAGTAAATAATTAAAAAAAAATGGAAATAGAAAAGGACTAAAATTAGGCCTCCAGCACGCACACTCGATAGACGAAATGCGTAAATGCTGCTACTTCTCGCCTGTCTTCTGTGTGGTCGTGTTGTTGCAAAAGAAGAGCTGCACATATGTTGCGTGCGAATACCATATGAATATCTCTATATATAACATTGGTCCACTGTTAAAATCGCTGTACAGACTGTATGTTACTATTTGTTTTGAAGAAGGCGCGGGCTACTGCTAGTTTTAATAAACTCGTTCACAAACGTCGGTCGCCGGCAGACGGCAGAGCTTGAGTGCCCGAGCCTCAGGCCTCAGAGTAAAGTAAGTGCTGCGCTCGCGCCGGGCCCCACGGCCCGGCCAAGGAGCTGCGAGCTGTGTGTAGAGTGCAGACGCAGGCCAGCCCAGCCCGGCCAGTGCGCGCCCGGCGGCGGCGAAGTCCGCACGTACCCGAGAACTCGCTCGCAGCGCGAACGCGGCGCACAACTTGTCACTACTCACTTTCGGCTTCGTCTTGTCGCGTCGACTATACGCGTGTAAATTGCGCAGTGACCGAAGTGATTGAAGTTTATTATTATTATGCATTACTACATAGTTTTACAACATTCGCAGTGTTACCATTGTGAGAAGTGTGGAGAAAGGCGGTGGAGGCCGGGAGCTTCCTCACCGATCTTCATTTATTTTTCGGCTATCGTATGACTCCGCTTTGAGATCTTGAAAATTGCTCAAGGCTAACGACGCGCTGCGCAAGAGACAAGACACTAGCGAATTAGAAAAAGGTTAGAGACGAAAAACAAACTTCGTAATTGTATATATTAGCATATTAATAGATGTCGTCGTATGGGGAATCACATTTACTTGTACTCTATTTGAAAGTTAATAACGCATACATATTTTAGTACAACGTAGTGTCGAAGTTTCAGCTCGGCTAGGCTAGGCCTGCAGACACGCTGGGCTGGGCCCGCTGCTGGCTCGCCCAACCTAAGCACCTTTGGACCGGGGTGAATTGGGTTAAATCGTCATAATCTTGGCCAAATAATCTGTTACCTCCAGATGTACACGTCTTTCCCGGACATCCTGCATAATAATTAGTTTACATAAATTCTGTCTTAAAATAACAATGCACAACGACAAGATAAATTGACAATGGCGATGTTAACCGTTACAAAGTAAGGAGAGAACAGTTACCACCAGAACGAAAAAGATATTACTGTTTCCTGTCCACTTCATTCCATAACAAATCATCTCCAACATCTCGTATGATCTGATATCAATTGTAAAATCGATGAAGGCATTTTAATAAACTATAGGCTGTAAGTGAAGAAGCGACAATGGTGCGCAGGTGTATTGTCGCAGCACCGCCCTCGCCGCACGCGCCGCTCTCGCCGCTCTCGCCGCTCTCACGGCACGCCGGGCTCTGCGCTGCGCTCATCACAGCGCTGCTCTGCTTAGCGGTCACCGCTCAACTCGATCTTGGTGAGCCATTACTATAAAAATCAAGCATCGCGTCACATGTGTTCGAACACAACGACACCGAAGAGTTCTCAATGCTCTTCAAACAATTAATACCTTGCGTACCTATTTGAAACATGAGAACGTAAAATATCTTGACCGTTTTTTTTTTTCGGAATTAATTAATTCATTTAAGTGAAATGATAAAAAATATAACTTAACTTTAGAATCACCGAGTATGTTTTAAACACAATGTACAACTCGGAAAGATTAGCCAAAATTATTTTTACTTAACATACTTGTTTTTTATGCATTGTATTTAACAATACTTTTATACTAAATAATCTCAAAAAAATTCTAATAAAGTAAGTATGTTATTGTTAACAAAAATGCAGAGAATGAACGACAACAGTCAATTCGATCCTCGCGGAATGACACCGAGCTAGTGGTAACGGCGGTGTTGCCCGGTGGCAGCGCAGCGGGCGCGGCGCTTGCGGCGCTGACGGCGGCTGCGCTGCGCCGCGCCGGACGGGCCGCGCACGTCGCGCCGCCGCCGCCCGCTTGCCGCGCGCCCGCCGCGCCCGACGCCCGCGCCTGCCGCGACGCCGCCTTCGCCGCGCTGGCGGCCGGCGAGCTGCACGTAGCGCTGCTGCCCGTGCCCGCCGCCGCCGCGCCCGCCGCTTGGCCGCTGCGGGACTACGGCCTGGATGTGTTCGGCGATGCCGTGCCCCCCGCGCGCCGCGCCTGCCTGCGCCTCGCGCCCTTCTCGCCCACCGCGCCCACCGCGCCCACCGCGCCCCTCTCGCCTCCCTCGCCTCCCTCGCCTCCCTCGCCCGTCGCGCGCTCCCTGCTGGACCTGGCCGATGAAGACGTGGCCCGGCAGTACGAGGTGCCGCTGCATTCTCTGGAGGCTATACTTCGATCATCGGACGAGTTGCCGTAAGCGTATGCTAGGTTTAGGTGTTGGAAATGAACGAGTAAAGAAAGGAAATAAGACAACTTCTTGTTGCCGGAGTGTTTGTTCTAAATCAGTGACGGGCAAGATACAGCCTGCGTTCGATTCCGGCCTACCCAAGGTCCATCGACATAAATAGCATATAGCCCGCTTTAAAAACGTTTTGAGGGCCGAGAAATAGAAATTGTATTCTACTAAGTTGAATAATACGTGCATAACCCATAGGTGAATCTAAACTAGCCACATAGTTCCGTGTTGCTTTTGAAAATATTATGGAAAAACAATTCCATGTGTGTTACCATGGTCGGGTCTTGTAATAAAAGTTAAATTATGGTCCTCCTCTTGAATTTCTTAAACTATGCGGCTTTGATAGTTTGCCTACCACGACGACGACGACCTAAAGCGACAAATTTAAATTCAACAACTATGTACGTCTAAATTTCACAGATCTTACTTTTGTACGGACAAGATTGTCCGGCAAATTGACAAATCAAAGTATCAACTGTGTGTACTTACTTTACAGAAATTCAATTGAAATCTTCGAACCGCCGTGGTGTGCGGCGCCCAACGCGAGCTGCGCCATGGTGCTCACCAGCGACGCCGGCGAGGCGGGC